TTTGTGAGTGAAAACACTTTATATGATGATATTTATTTTCTAAGAATGATTTTCAGTATTTTAAAATTATGTGTATATGTGTGTATCTTTGTATGGGCATATGCACTGATTGAAAGAAACTGTGGTGTCCAGAAGACAGCACCACATTTCCAAGAGCTGGAGTTACAGCCAGCTGTGAGTCACCAACATGGATTCTAGGAAATGAACTCTGGTACTGTAGAAGAGGGGTGAACATTCTTAACTGCTGAGCCATCTGTTTGGTCCTTGGTGAAATGGTTTTAATAATTAATTCCACAGCAGATTCTCTGCTTCAGGGGTGTTAATGGAGACTATCAATAACCGTTCATGGAAACACAATGGTTTATGGAAGAGGCAACTCCACTGTATGACATGAAGCCAAAGAGTTTATAATTTAAAATTTAATATAGTCATGGATCAAGATGCTCACAGTCTTTAGTCTCTGGAATAATGACAATAAAAAGCAAGCATTTGAAGTGGGATTGATTCAAATAACATGCAGCCATTAAAAAGATTTTACATGTTGACCTTAAATGGACCTCTCAGGTGATTTCATAACTGAAGAGCTTATTAATCATAGTGTTTGGTATTACAATGAAATTTAATATAGTCATGGATCAAGATGCTCACAGTCTTTAGTCTCTGGAATAATGACAATAAAAAGCAAGCATTTGAAGTGGGATTGATTCAAATAACATGCAGCCATTAAAAAGATTTTACATGTTGACCTTAAATGGACCTCTCAGGTGATTTCATAACTGAAGAGCTTATTAATCATAGTGTTTGGTATTACAATGCAATATACTACATAGTCTGTTGATTATGTATGGTATTATGGTATATTCTACATACACGTAAATCATGTTCCAATGCATTCATGTTTATTTTTATTATTTATTTACTTACATATTTTGAGGGACAAGGTCTCACTGGTTGACATGGAACTTACTCTCTAGAGCAGGCTGGATTTAAACTCATAGTAACCTGCCTGTCTCTACCTCCCAAGTGTGGGAATTATAGGTGTGTACCACCATGCTCAGTTTATCTTTTTGAAGGGAGATATTATTTGAGCTTACAGTTCCAGAGGAATTACAGTCCATCATGACAGGGAGGCATGGTGGCTGGAGGTGGCTGGAGGTGGCCAGAGCAAGAGCAGCAGAAGCTAAGCTCTCACATAATTACACAGGCACAGGAAGCTAGAGAGCAACTGGAGATCCAGCAAGGCTAAAGAACTCTCTAAGCCCACCCCCTGTGATGTGCTTCCTCCAGGACAACCACATCTTCTAAAACCTCCCTAAACAGTGACATCATGTGGGGAAAAATGTCCAAACACTTGCCACCTATGGGGGATATTTTCATTCAAACTATCACATTCCATCCCCTGGCCCATAGCAGCTCATGACCGTATAAAATGCAAAATTCATTTAGTCCAACTTTAAAAGTCCTCATAGTCATTATCAGTCTCAATACTATTCAAAAGTCCGCAGTCCAATGTCTATTCTGAGACTCAGGTAAATATCAGAACTGTAAGTCTCTATAAAATCAAAATACAAATTACATACTACCAACATACATTGGAACCAAATACACATTACCATTCCAAAAGGGAGGACTGGAGGGATAGTATGGAAATACCGGACCAAAACAAGACCAAAAACCAGCAGGGCAAACACCAAACCCAGTAGTTTGTTTTATCTTTATAAACACTTCTCCTGATTGAAATTCTTTTCATAAATAAGAGTTAAGCTCTTTAGACAATATTTATCAGTTACTTTTCTGTTGCTGTGATAAAACACCATGACCAAGGCCTCTTATAGCATAATACTTTATTTGGTTTAAGGTTCCAATGGATAGTCCATAATGTCAGGGGAGCCATGGCAGCAGAATGGGGCTCGAGGAGAAAGCTGTGAGAGCACACCTTACAGCAGGCACAGGAGCACAGAGATATAGACTAGAACTGGGCATGGTTATGTTTTCGCAAAGCCTGTCCCCAGGGATGTGCTTACTCAAGCATGACCATACCACCTAAATGTTCTATGACCCTCCCCAAACAGTGCCACAAACTGGGGATGAAGTTGTCAAATATTTGAAAACTATGGAGTACATTCTCATTCAAAGCACCACATATGCATATAGAGAAATAGAAAGTCACAGCACCAATTCCAACTCTAAACTAGAAAAGAAGGAAAACCCCAAATTTATAAACAAAACATAAATATCTTTATCATGTGTGTAGGTGTAAGAAGGTAATTTAGACTCACAAAGTGCAAACATGTTCCTTCCGAAACACTCCATGATTGTTCATCCCATGGACTGTAGAATGTGCATTTTGTTTTACTTCAAAATTGAGCAATTCAATTTGATTGAGTTTTTGGCTTGTGAGCCTTTTAAAAGTAATGTTAATGTGTTACCCAAGTGAGTCAGAACTTTACCGCCTCAGCACTTGAGCTGACTGACCTGTTCTCAACTGTGACTCATCATGATTATATTTCATTACAACAACATGCAAACTGAAATGACTGTGCAAAGATGATGCCAGAGTCTCTTTGTATCCCATCGGGAGATTTAAGGCAACCATTTTAGTAACGGAAAAAAAAAAAAAAAACACGTCAGTTTGCTATCATGGAAATTAATCACAAGGATTAATATGATGTTTATTAAGATTAGTAGGGACACTAAAAATGC